GCCGGGGGGCTTGTGAAACATCCAGCCCCACGGAAATTGTGAATGTTGCGTTTTTTAAAGTGTTGTTTTGTCTATTTATCCCCTTTCCCTTGTCTGTTGTAAGCCGCCCGGAGTCCTTCGGGAGTGGGCGGCATACAAGACCAACTAAACTAAACTAAACTAAACTAAACTTAGCTCCCTTTGCACATTTATAAGAAAGAAAAAAAAAATGTGCCCCAGACAGAGTGAGCATAGTTCACCAGAGGTTATGAGTAGAACAGCATTATATAAAGGATATTCATATAACTAGAGCCTCAATGAGGTCATTGAGCAGCTTTGTTCAGAATTTAATGAGTTTTTTAATAAACTAGAATGTGCTGCCTTATTATGATGACCTAATGAGTCACTTAATATGTGGGAAACTCTGAGGTCGAGCACTGGCTGCACCTGCAGTATTAAAATGTCGCTTGGCTGGCAATATCCACGTTTGATGTTAATCAACCTCCCAGTGTTTGCATTCAGCAAAGTATGAATGTTTAATTACCATAAAATGCAATCACCATTTCTTGCAGACAATGAGTGACGCATAGACCTCATTGAGGTTATCAAAGAAGGACCAGTGGTCAATTGGGTCAGTGATTTGAATTGTTTGACAGACCTATAGAAACAAAAGTTCAAAAATCCCAAGTAAAATTGAGAAGTTTGCCACTGAATCTGTTGGAAGGAACTGTCATAACTAATTGAAGTTAACAAAAAACCCTTGGTGATCGAAAGTTCAAGTTCAAGCTGTAGAGTTAATTTGGATTTACATTCCTTTGTTCTAAGTTTCTCATGAAGCATGATCTGATTACAAGGGTGAGCAGCTGCATCAGGGCATTATATGCATATTTTTCTAATAAAGGTGAAATCATTTTTAAGGTCCAAGTTACTGATACAAACAGAAGACTCCAAGAAGCTGGGAAAGAGGTAAGAAAGTGGCTTTTCCCCAATTCATTCAACAAATGTTTTACGCAATATGACATGAGTGCACCTAATTTAACCACAATGTGTTTGAAAATACTCAAGGTGCTAGCTCAGACAGAGGAAGTCATCCAGAGTAGACTCCAGCAGAGGAATATTACGACCGTGGTCGAAAAACTTCAGTTGTGCCTTCCAGGTTAGTCACAAATACTTAAAACGCCAAATATAGGCGTGCCAAAATTATTTATTAAATTTATAGGCCGCTCAATCCCGCAGGACTCTGTCACTTCATATCTTAAATCTAGATATATTTCAACACAACTAATACAAAATTGATCTGTGATACACAATACTTTCTGGAGCAAATGTTGCTTAAAGATTTAAAGGAGATATTTAAATGCATTTAAATCAGTTATCTTTTTTAAAAAATTTGTTCATTCATATCCAGGATATTGATAGGATATTGATAGGATATTCAGAGACGGAATATTGTTGATGATATTAATTTGTGTTGTCATCTAATTGAATATTATTTAACCATTCATGATGGAACCAGAGTTTCAAAGATAAGCTGAAACATCGTTATATGCAATATTTCCCATATCCCCTTTTCTGACATTTGGTTTTAGTTACACAGAGAAACATTACATTTTTACCATTATCTGTAAAACACCTTGGTTTCCTGATGTGCTCTTCCTGTAACACATGTCCCTGCCAACAGCAGTGATCTATTTTTGTCTATAAATCCATTGTAATTTTCACGGCGTTGGGTGACCAATAAAAGAGTTAAAATAAAAGTTTTAAAATGCTTTGAGATCAGCCTAAACTAACTTTCTAAAATTCCTATTTTTTACTGCTTTTCCATTTTAAGTTTTCCATCCTTAGGTTGTAAAACTTTCACAATTTCAAAAATGCATTTATATGCGTACAAAACTGATGGTTTGGAAAGCATCTGTATTCTGGATTATATATTTTATAGTGACATTTTTTCTTCTTCTTACAGTATTGGAGATGTACAGCAAATTGAAAGAGCAGATGAATGTCAGAAGGTGAATTAATCATTTTTAACTCAACTAAATGTTTTAATGAATTGGTTCATCCACTTGTCTATTGCAATTACTGATGGAGTAATAAAGCTTACTTTCGTAAGGACGTTTAATGAATTTGGTCTCAATTCAATTGTATTCAATTCCTGCCTTTGTTCCATGCCTTCCATGACAAATGAAAAATTCTCATGAGGAAAAATAAAAGTATTTGGAAGAATTAGTCATTGGCTTTAGAAATTAAATGTTTAAGTCATATCCATGAAATTGAAATAATTAAAATTTGGCTTATAATTCCAGTTATTGTTTGATTTGGTTTTATTATTTCAAAACCAATAGTTAATACATTATCAAAATAGCAAAATAGAGATTTCCCTCACTGGCTAACATTTGTCATCTGATATACCATGCAACTTTCAAAACAAGTTCTAAATAAATATGTAAATATTAATAATGGATCGTTATAAATTAAAAAAACCAAATAATTATTTCTATTTGTTTTTGGACCTCCTACATAATATAGTAAAATGTAGTATATAATGAACTATAGATAATATATTTAATACACCGTAGTATATAATATAATTATAACAACTCCTGGTGAGATATACCCCATAAGTCACATTCTTTGATCTAACAATTTAATGTCTACAGGTATTTATTGTATTAAAATTCAGGATTTTTAATTATGTGGAATAGCTGCTTGGATATGCTAGGAAAAGAGTATAGCATAGCCAAATGCTTTGCTTTCATCCTTCTCTAATTTTATTTTTTAATCTTGCTATCTTTCAATCTCTGTTTCCATTAGGGTTTATATGTCACCAACATAATTTTGGTAATAATCTTATTAAGGATTATGTTAGACAAACAAAATTAATACATTCTACAGAGAATTTTATATATATACGAAAGCAATTGAAACTAAAAAAGTGAAGGAAAATAAATAAATTTTCGTCTTGTTCCGCAGCAAGTGTAATTATTATAACAACATCTCTTTTTAAAAAAAGCTTAACACTATCTCTTTTTAAAAACCATTCCATGTCTCATTCTATTCTCTATAATATTTTAAGGGTTTATCACCCCATCTTAATAATATTAAAATTACATTAATAATAGCAGTAGCGTTTAGACTTATTTACATAATTCTCTGGGTGTTTTTATAATATCAGCATATTGCTCCCAACAGTCCTCATTTTACTGACCTTGGAAGGATGGGAGAATAAGTCAGCTTTGAAGCCCATCAGGATCGAACTCCTAATGGGCTCAGGAGAGTCGACTCGCAATACTGCATTCTAACCACTGTGCCAATAGGGCTCCTAATGAACCCACTTTAAATCCATCCTTTTACATTTATATCTCATTTTACATTTATAACTTATATATCTCTCAGAATTGTTGGTGTCCCGAAGTCTAAATTCTGAAGTTACTTTTGTACTTTCAGCAAAGAAAAATTATCCGTATCGTGGTTCATATTCTCACTATCACTTCTAATGAAATCTTTGACAATTTCAGTGTCCATTTTGTGAATTCATTGCAGAGAAGTTATCCACATCACTTTTTAGATATATTTGATTGTCTTTTGTAATTATCAAATCATCATCCAGTATCATTTGTAAATCAATTATTTCCCTCTTTTTTTTAATAAGCTATCATTTTTAAATACGCATTCAGATCAATTTCAATTTTATTCAGTGGAGCTTCTCATCAATAAAATATTCCAATTCTACAATAACAGATAACATTATAATTAAGTATTTCACTCATTCAACAAAAAAAACCCTTTGATATATTTATTTCCTTCTAGTGCCCTCTAGTGTCCAACCTGCAAAGTTGTCTTATTAGTTATTTAGATATAAACCAAAGTATTTCCCACAGGAAAAAGTCCTTTTAATTAATTTCAAAGTCTTTAATTCAAATCCTTCTGAACTGTTAAGCCATTAAAATTTTCTAAAATCAGCACTGTATTCAGCCTTTTGCTGTATAGTCTGAAAAAAATCTTTATAAAATTTTAAATTCATAATTTTTTTATAAAGGAGAATTCACCCAGCAAACACAATCAAATTTGAAGTCCCAAATGTTTTTTAAAAGCAGTAATTTTAAAAACAACAACTCCAAAGTGTATCCAATGCCATTTCTTTCTCCTTTTCGTCTCCACTCTTATATGAGACTAGATTATTCAGGATCTGGAATCTAGGCTGTTATCAATTTTTTTTTTGTTTAAAATATATACTATGTTTTTTCCCTTTCCGTCTTAAAAAAAAGATGGTTTCTTGTTTTTTCCCCCCCAGATATTATTCTGCTCTAAAAACAATGGAACAGCTAGAAAACATATATTTCCCTAGAGTTAGTCAATATCGGTTTTGCCAAATCATGATTGGGAACCTTCCAAAGCTTCGCGAGGAAATTAAAGGGATTTCCATGTCAGATCTGAAGGACTTCCTGGAGAGCATCCGGAAACATTCAGATAAAATTGGTGAAATGGCAATGAAGCAGGTAAACATCCTGAAATGCTCAATTTTAAAATATTATTCAGTAAAGCCGGACTACAACAATCACATTTAGATTTTGTTCCTAGTCTCAGGGGAACTTTCTCTGATAGCATCCTTACTAACATTATGAATACAGGTTCACCGACAAAAGGGCGCCCGATAAAAGCGCGCCTGACTAAACCGCGGTGACAAAACCGCGAGTTCTAAACCACGCCGACGAATGAGCGTTGAAGTGCGCCGACAACAGCGCGCCGACAGAAGCGCTCTCTAAACCTAATCCCAACCCTACCCCTAACCCTAAACCTAAACCTAACCCTAAACCTAGCCCTAACCCTAACCCTGAACCTAACCCTAAACCTAAC